ATTTTAATGATATCTTCGTTCTTTAATTGAAATGTGCATTGCTAACAGCGGAGCTATCTCAGCCGACAGGCTGCTTGTTAACTTTTTGAGTGCCGGATATTTTTTCTTTCTAAAATTTAATGCAAATATTTTCACAATTTTGTAAAATTGTCACTAAATTCCATACAGATATTGCTTGTAGTTTTTAATCGAAAGATTGGTCAATTTTTATTAACATTTTATAGATGGTACATGTACTAATAGCTGACAGTGGTGCTCAAAGTTATATTTCTGTCTGTTCTCAGTTGTTATCTTAGTTGTCCGAGTATAAACCCCTCTGGGAAAACGGCAAATTGACGAAAAATTTTGGGTTAAATGACTTGTTGTAAAATGCTGTAAATTTTGAGGGGGAGGGGCTTATACTCAAGCAGCGGTTTATACTCGGACAACTACGGTACTATCAAAACAAAAATTTTCATTTTGCTGTGTTTTCAGTTTTTAGAACAGATGTGTCCTATGAGAAACAGTAAAATAATCCCACCTGAAGAACAGGAAAAGTCTACATGTACATTAAGTGCTGAGTTTGGCCATGCAAGAGATGCATATGCATTTGGTGTATTGGCTCAGGAACTATTGGCGTATCTTGGTGAACTAGGTAATATTCAGGACATGTTTTTTTGTCTTTTTAGTTTTGTGGCAGGTCACATGAACTATAGAGGTGGTCTCAATGAAATTAATAAAAAATCCAACTATATAACCATACAATTTCTTCCCTATAGATAGTAATTACTCATAGTATACCGTAAAAACTTGATTAATTCACGGTCTCTATTAATTCGCACACCCATTTTATTTTCGAACGCTAATTTTTAAATGTATCCTTTTAATTTGCGGCGTTCAAAAACATGTTTAAAATTGTATTCTATTAATTCGCGGGCCAGAATAAAGTGGATAACTCAGAATATATCGCATGAAGACATTAAAAATATACATTTTGTTTGAATTTTTATGTTATCAGTACTTGGTGTAGCTGCAATCGCAGATGATCTCCATCATCACAGCCTTTCAGTTAGCAAGCAGTTTAGGTTCGGTAAAGATTTGACCTGAAAAAAATCATTCCTCCACGGCACTACAGATGTTGGGCAAGATTATTACTTAGTCGATAAATATCCATCGGTCAGCACATCGAGTATGAATTTCCGTGATGGAAAGCTTAGTACAAGGCTTTTTCGTTGCTGGTCCACATCGACCAAGTGTCCACCATTATTCTATTACGTCATTTAAGTGAACCGCCCTATGGTGCGTAAATTGACGTTTTTGATTGGTCGGGCGATTGACCTCGTGTCACATTTTCATTGTACCGGATTCGGTGAAAAACACAGAGATAAGCAGTCATGTACGTTCTATAAATCTAACCTTGCACACATAATCTTGTACTGACATGTTTTTTGTCCAAGAAAGACGTTCCCTTTCATTAAACCCCCAGTTATCTCTTACCGTCCATGGTATTTGTGAAAGTTGAAAGATTTTTTGAACAAATGACAAGTAACTATATTGATTTGCGTCTAGCTGGGTGGCCCGAATTTAAATATCAGTGCATGAACTCTGAAGGTCATTGCCCAATGCCACACAAACGCGTGGTTATTTGAGTTTAGTCGAAATGTACGTGAATAATGCGATCGAAGTGCACTGCCCAGAGTTTATTATATTATAGTAAAATTTAATTTGACGTATGGTATGTTTATGTTTGCGTAATTATTACGAATGTAATGCATTATCAAGTCGGTGATATTGAAATATTCACAGACCCAATACCCCGGGTCAGTGCCCTAACAATAGTTAAAAAAAACAATTATCATGAAAGCAATACATTACAGCATGCAGCAAGTTTCTCAAAGAAGTACGTGAAGTTCAACTGCGTCCCAAAATAATGTCGCTGATCACTCAGTTGTCTCAGCGTGTGTTGTGTCATGTCCATGATGCACCCCGTTTCGACTTTGGCTTGCTTTTCTTTCTTAGTGCATGTTCTTGTTCACGTAAAATGCGACCTCTCACCAATGTATTAAAACACTTTGAATTTATATTTTGCATGATTATATTTGGTCAACGCGAAACATTATGTTTTCTAAACATTTTCTGAGACCATTTTTATCAACGCAGGGTTATTTTTCCAGACAAGATGGGCTTCGTAATATCTGCCATAACAATAGCCCGGGCGATGCCTCGAAAAATAAAAAAAGGTAGTGCAGCCAGACGGCTACTTTGTAGCCACGTGTTCATTGTTTGTTTGTGTACAGAGTGACCTTTGCCATTTCACTGTTTCATTTCAAGTGTGACATGGTGCGTGGTTCTTGACGCAGTGCGTGTTCTCTGCCCTGACTATTCGCCATTAATGGTGCTAACCACGAGTCTCAGAGGCACTAAAAAACATCCTGTAACCGTGTTCATTGGAAAACAATACAAATCACTAATAAAATTATGAAAACAGCTTCTTTTTGAATCGATCAAAAAGTACTCTTTTAATTCGCGCACCAAAAACAATAATTTCCGTTTTTACGCTATTAATTTCGTGCACTTGAAAAAATAATTATTTCTACTACCGCGAATTAATAGAGTTTTTACGGTATATTGAACATTTTTGCCACAGAAACCATATTCCATGTTTGTGACCATGTTACAATGCTGTGTGTGTATTACTATCATAATGATAGTTAATTCCAGAGAAATAGTGGATCCTAAACAGAATACAATGTATCTGTTTTGTAAACATTTTATGTTAATTAATGAGCCAATGTTCAGTCACTATCAGCACTACAACAATTTACCCACCGTCTGTTATGTTATTTTTGAAAGCAAGGTTTTCCTGATTTTTTTTTTTATTTCTTTTGCAGGTGACATTGCTGTCGATTTTTCCACCGTTATAGAACAATTCTTGAATCCAGACCCAACTCAAAGACCAAAACTTAAAACACTACTTTGCAATAAACTTTTTAAGTAAGTTAGATTGTCTTATTTCTTCAGTTGGTCTTTGATGCTAACTCAAATTTGATTTAGGCCTTTCTAGGATGAATTCAACTGTTATTGTTTTCCCTCAATTCACTCTAGCAGGACTAATTTTGTAGGAATTCTGAGTCAAAATAAAAAAAATCCCCAAAATCAAGTTGACTGCTGAGGTCTGCTGAGTCTTCAAGAAAAATAGAATTGTATATGAATCTATGGATGACACAAACACAAATGTTGTGGTCCTGGATGTCCTTCATGTTTACGCTTTCACTTTATCAAATTACAAATTTTATAACTATTGAAAGATTTTTTTTAAGATCACTATTGAACGCATGATTTTCTGTTGTATCAATGACTTGCCAGTGTATTACCGTAACACAGCCAGTTTAGTCATAGCAAATCGTTGTGCATCAGTAGTGCATCATATCTGCTTAGAGGGTACACTCCTCTCAAATCCTCAGTCACCCACAAGTCAGGTTATGCCTTCTTGACTATTTGTTGCCTTCCAAACTGAATGTAGTCTTCAACCTTTTCATCACCAGTTCCCTCTTTTCATCACAAATTCACAAAATAGTCCTGTTTATAGTCTGCACTTTCCTTCAGAAGATTTGGACTAAAAAATCCAAATTTTGAGTAAAAACATCCAATTTACTTTATTAAATTTTGTCTGTTGGCTCAAAAATTAGGAATCATTTCCAAAAATTCTGATGAATATAAAAAGAAAAATTTGGTAGAGAAAGTCTTGTGCTTAAAAGGTTAAATCTATTTGTGTATCTGGCTAGGTGCTGAAGTGTACCCGGTTCACACATCTGATTGTACGTTGTACACCAATTTCCAACCATATATATGTGTGCATGTTTCCCTCAAAACTCTTTACATGTTTAAAATGACATAGTACCTTTTTTCTCTAATAAAATATTTTGTGTTATATTTTTTTGTAGGAATGACTTTTTACAGATTATTAATTTTCTTAATAATATAACAATAAAATCAGAATCCGAGAAGACACTCTTCTTCAAAAGTTTGGTTCCTAAGTTGTTAGAATTACCTTCTTCATTGGTGGCTGCTCGACTTGTGCCAAAACTGCTGACTAGATTTGTAATGGCTGACTTTGATGCAGTGGAGTATGTTTTTCCACATTTATTCACACCAAACTCAGGTAAGTTCACCATATTTGGTTTTACCAAAGACTAATAAAAGTCATGTTTAGTCATGTTAACTGCTTGAAAGTCAATATTTGCCACCATCCACAAAGCCTGCACAATTTTTCTATAATTTGAATCAAAAAATGTACGAGGACAATGGAATAATATGTTCTTATGGTGGAAAGTTTGAATTCTTGGTTATATATGTTTCGTCTTAGTTCTGATGAATCTGAAAACAAGGATTTGTGGATTTTATTTCCATGTGCATCAGTATTCAGTAGTATCCAGCACATGCTTGGGCTGATCAAGTTCAAGCATTACACATACCGTACATCATATCGGATATATGTGCATGCATTTGTTTCATGATTTGATTCAAGACTGCTGAATAATGCATGTTATTTTATTTTTCGGATCAAGTTCAAAAATGGCTGTTTATAATAAGTTAAACAAATCTGAAGTTTTAGAGAAATGTTGCTTTGTCCCATGTTCGTATAACAACTCTATAGACGACTTTCCCGGAAGTAGCAAGACTGTGGTACAAAAATACTCCTGCTTTGTCAGGCTGAAAAAAATCAAACTATCAGTTTGCTTACAGTCGATAGAGGGGAATTTTATTTTTGTGACGTTGATTGGTACACTCAGAAGCACAATATAACGTGTGAAAAAATATGTTACACCCCAAAATGATATGCACGCATGTGAAACACTGTATTTTTGACTTTCAGGAAAGTTGTCTATCCCACCAGTCATTACTCTGCACACGCTTCTACACTGATCGGGCCACTGTAGAAGAGCGTATAGCAGCTCCAATCATAGACAAAATAAATTTGGTCTACGACATGCATTATTAAAACTCTACATTCTGTTACGCTGTTGTATACTGTTTCTGTGCATCCAAATAAGTTGGGTCTGTCTTCTCTCGCGTTCCTGTGCACGTTACTTCAAAATTAGAACGAAACAGCAGAAATTTTGCGTTCGTAAACAGCGACTTTACAAAAGTCACCAACTGATGGCGTCCCTTAGCCTGTGCTAAGGACTGGCCCTCCCAGTACGTGGACGCAATTGGGTCAAGCCAAAATACAAACATGTGAGATAAGCCTAAATCAGCTTAAATCTTAGCCTGTATTTCGTGTAGCGTGGACACTACTTATAAGTCATTTGTTCTGATCATTTAGAATGACTGCTAATATAAGCAATGTGATGGCGCAACTGAACAACTGTGCCCATTTGTGAAAAGACACTTTATAGTAGCATACTGTAGAATATTTTATTTTCGCTTGGAATTTATTTTCGCTATTTTCGCTGACGGGATGATTCCGTGAAAATAAAGTCCAGCGAATATACTTTTTTCCCTATATTCCACACTAAGCGCAGCAAAAATCAGTGAAAATACATTCCAAGCAAAACGCCCAAAAAGCCTGATCAGCGAAAATTAATTCCAGCGAAAATAAAGTATTCTACAGTACATTATATCTTTGGTTGTTTGTATATTATTACTACAAACTGCTACTCATCAGTGCTTTGTTACTTCACTTTTCAGATCCAATGTCAGAAACAGGATTCCAAGATGGTCATGTAAATCCAATTCTTCCAGTTCAAGAATTCAAAGAAAGCATTATTCCCATTATTGAGAAGATAATCTGTGTACGAGAAACACACGTCAGACTTGCTTTGCTCAAGTATTTTGCATCGTATGTACATTTGTTCGATACTGATGTGTTACGAAAAACAATTCTCCCACAGGTGAGATATCTCAGCATTTTTAGTTCTCATTTGGATGGTGGTCTGAAAACGAGAACATGTAATTTGGGTTTTGTGTGTGCGTGTGTCGTCATATTTCAGACATGCCCTGATGGATCTATTCAAAGGTACAACATATACATGTCATAAAGGTATACATATGCACGTTTTTAAATTTGACTATTCAGCAGCCTTTTTGAAATGTAGGGATTATAATTAAAAATTGGACTATAATTACATGTAACTAATACAAAATGTTTTGATGTTGTTAAATTAATGTTAGTTAATAATGTTAATAACAGTTTAAACAGGAACTGTGTCATTTTCAATGACTTGTCTTTCTCAATTTACATTGTAAGTAGTCGTTGTCCCTGCTTGATGCGTTTCCTGCTCCAATATTTTATGGAGTACAATTTGAGGGCCAATACTGCAATAATGTTTTTAGTTAGACGTTCATTGTGTGTCTGTACTAATGATTTTCCACTGATATCTCAAAAACGACAATACATTGGGCCTCAAAAATTGATTTTTCAAGTTAGAAAGGTACAACGTTATATATCGTACACTCCGAGTGTATGTGTTTCATCAATATGCTGCACATATGAATCGTTATATAGCTCAAGTCATGTAGAGCATGCAGCGTGATATGCATCTGAGCTGCGCATACACATATCAGACACTATGAGGAACCTACTTACTTCTGTCTTAAGGACAACGTCAAAAGATCAATGTCTGATAAAAAACTTAATTCCTTTAGTTTTTTCCCAAACCCCCCCCCCCACCGAAACTTAATTGATAAATATTGATCATGGCGTCAGACTACATTCACCATTAAATACAAATTGATAATCGGTACAGTTGTATGGCATAGCAATTGGTTGTAATAATGAAGGGAATATTCGCATGCGCAAACTACTTCTCTGGGTTCTGCGCATGCTCTAGGTCCATGCCCTGAAATTGATCCTCATTTGAGGCACATATTTACACTCAGACCAAACCATTTTCTCGTCTTGGATGTGTTTTTTTCATTTTCTGATATTTTTGTCTATGATTGGATAGAAAAAAAAAAACTAACTACAAATACAAATTTTTTTTGGCTTCATTAAAAAATAAAAACGTTTTTGTAGGATGAAACCCCCCCTAAACTAAAGCAAATAAGTTTTTTTATCCGACATCGATCTTTTGACGTCGTCCCTTAAGAGATGCAAAAGATGTTGTTTTTTTCGCTCTACAACAACCCGCATGTAAAATCGATGAGGTTCAAACCATAAACGCTTTGCAAAAGTCTTACCCGTTATATCCCATTGCTGCCTAGGCTCAGTCATTTTCCTTACAAATCCCTTGTGATTAATGTTTTCATATTATTGATTATTCAGATGTTGTTAGGCTTAAGGGACAGCAATGATGACATTGTCAGTTCAAGTCTCCATGCTCTTGCTGAAATTGTATCAATACTTGGTGGTAAAACCGTTGTTGGAGGACCCAGAAGGAAACTGTTCTTGGATGGCAGGCCAAAGGTTTGTAAGATAGTGATATCTGACATGTTTGTATTTATCATATACCTCGTATTGCCTGGCTATGTAATGCTATGGGAATCCCGATGCGCGAGCCGTGCAATAATTTTCTATATTACGCCCGTGCCTCGTTTACCATATTTGATAAACGCACCTATTTCCTGGAACTACTTTCTGTTTACAAACAACGCGCGTAATTTGAGTCTGCGCTTCGATAATGGCTGACGATATTATTCTATGGATGGGAAATATACCGAAAAAACAGTTGGACTCATTATTACCCTGACGAAAACCGGCATTCCACCACAACCAATCATAAATATAACTGGTCACAAAAACGTGTCAAGTTTACAGCACTACGATAATCACATTCAGCTGGCATCGGTGTTGCTGGATACACCCAGTGACACCGATGCCAGCTGACTGTGACGATACTGTCTCTCAACGGAAGAACATCTGCGCATTTCAGATATTCTTAGTTGAGCTACGCCAGAAACTGGAACTGTAAACCAAATTGCTTCTTGTCAAGCAATTGTTTCTTGTTCACCGACTACGCTTTTTAACAACTGTGAAATCAGCGTGTCTCTACCTATGGCTACAACATCAGCTCCAAGAAGACGTCC